CAGGGTCCACCCCAACCCCACCCCACAGGCCCCCCAGATCCACCCCAACCTCACCCTCCAGGCCCCGTCAGGGTCCACCCCAACCTCACCCTCCAGGCCCCGTCCTGGGTCCACCCCTACCCACCCCACAGGCCCCCCCAGATCCACCCCAACCTCATGCCCCGTCTCCGTCCCGGGTCCACCTAACCCCATCCCGCAGGCCCATCCCGGGTGTCCACGCAAACCCCTCAGGGACAGAGGCACCCGGACTCATTCCTAAAGAAACGCCTTCATTTTAAGGGGTGTCCCTCTCTCTATAAAGCTGCACCTTCACATTGCTTCTGTCTCTGCGTGAGGCGCTCAGTATAATCACAAACGTACTGTGACACATTAATAAACATTATATGACACTGCTCATCCTTGCACAGTAAATACATTTTTTTTTTTAGTTTCTTTCCTACAACTTCTCAGCTAAATGTCTCTCAGGACTTAGGTTTTAATTCTTACGGCCAGACAGAGGCCTTGGTGAGAGAAATGAGAAATGAACAAGGGGAGACGTTCCTGTGCTATTAAAGTCACACGTGCACACGGCGTTTCTGTTCTGTGTGCCCGTCACTGCCGCTCCTGAGAGTTCTGAGGGGCAGCTGTCTGCTCTCCCGGCGATTTCTTCCCCGGCCTCCTCAGCTCAGAGGCAGAGATCGGACTGAGTTCAGGCTCCGTTCTCGGGACGTGGCTCTGAAAGGAGCGGAAGCTTCACCCGCAGAGCAGCCTCCGTGCCTCCACTCCGGGGCTCCCCTGTTCTGTCGGGGAGGATGTGGGAGGAACGGGGTCCAGGGGCCAGACCTCCCGGAGGACGGGGCGCCCACCTGGTTTTGTGCGGAAGTGACTGGAGAACCTACTTCCGCACGCTCCGGGTTCCGAGGGGCCCCCGCGCCCCATCACCCCCGAGGGGAAGGCCACGTGTCTGCGGGGCGAGGCCGGGGCCCGCTGGGTTTTGGTGGCTCGCTGAGCGCCGTGCTGGCCCAGACCCCGGCCGGGCCTGCAGACCAGGGGGCAATGGGACCCGCCTGAGGCCACGGCCTCCGGGAACCCAGGGGGCTGGTCAGGGACCACACACGTGTTGTTTGGGCAGATTTGCTCTCATTAAGCTTTGCCTCCATGACACGGCCGTGGTGATGGGACAAATTAGCATTAATGGGCGGTAATTAATAACACGCTGAGCTTGCTCTGCCGAGGCTGGTTTCCTCTTCCGGGGGCTGGGGTGGCAGACGCCCGGCACGTGTGTGGGTGCCCGTCCCGGGCGCCGCCCTCACCGCCTGTCCTTTCGCAGGGCCCCACGCAGCGGCACATCCAGATCATCATGGAGCGGCTGCTCCGCACGGTGAACCGCACGGTCATCTCCATGGGCCGGGACTCGGAGCTCATCGTAAGTGGCGCCCGGGGCCGGGCCTCCCGCCGGCGGCCTCTCTCCGCCTGGCCGCCCTCCGGGGCTTTCTCTTCAAACTGTCACCCTGAGCTGTTCCCCTCCGCGTTCTCGAGCGGGCAGGTGCCTCGGTTGCCCTGCTTTACCGTCTGGTATGTGACGTGGCTGGTCTCCCACCGTGGCTGGAGCCCGTGTGGACTGGGAGGCCGCGCCATCGGCGTGTTAGAGAAGCATTGGTTCTGGTTTTCCCATGCCTTCCTCCAGCGCTTCTTCTCCGCCCTCGTCCTCTGGGCAGTTTCTCTCCACCTGTTTCCACAGAAGACGGCAGGAATGAAGTTTTACAGTATTTTTGCTCCTCCAGCTTAGCCGTTCCGTGTCCACTCACATGTGCTGTACATGCTTCTCCCATGCAGATCACTGCGGCATGGCATGGGATCTGTTTTGGGGGAATTTCTAAGAATAATATAAAACCCGTGTCACCGGGCCTGCTCTCGAGAGTTGACCCCTTGGCCCTTACCTCACCCCCCTGCTTTCTGAAGTGTGGTTTCTCTGGCAAAGGGTGCCCACGAGGTCCCCTTTCGCTTCTCTCCTTGGCACCCTTCCCCTGAGCTTGTCTGATGGCCTTTCACAGCAGTCCCTTCCCAGCCAAAGGCCAGAGCACACAGCTGGCGTTTCCCAGGCCAGCAGATGGCATGCCGTCTTCCTGTGTGGCCTCCGCGGTCTCTGGGTCCTCGGCGTTGACCAGGGAGGTGACACCCATGTCTTCCCCCCACGGCCAGGCAGGAGCGTAGAAACGGGTGGGGCCGTTGGATGGTCACAGCATCATCTGAGGGCCGTACGGAACGATCAGCTTCAAACTAGCCTGCTCTGTCTGGTCAGACACTAACCCGCCCCTGTTCCCTCGGCACGGCCAGACCAGATGACTTCGTGGGGGCCCGCGGGCTGGGTGTACCCCTCTCCTGCTGCGAGGAACAGTTCTGGGGGAAGAAGTAGGTTCATGGCCACCCGAGTGTGTTTCCCGCCAGTGACACAGTCCAGTCCCGTCTCAGAGGTCGGCACATGCGTTCCCGTGTTCCTCCCTGAGGCTCGGGCTGTCATGTGTACAAACCAGAACATACAGTATTTCCTTGTGAATCGGACTCACCTGCCACGGGCTGCCCCGTTCTGTACGCAGATGCCTCAGCCTCTCCCCGCTCCCCGCGTCGCTGCTCTGCCATCGGAACCCCCTAGTAGAGGCGGGGGATGGAGCCCCATGGAGCGGGACATGGGGTGACCCCGAGGCCTGAGGACCCTGTGTGGTTGGGGCTGCTCCAGGGGAGCCCTGGGGCACTGTCACGCCGGGGAGGGGCTTGGGGAGCGTGAAGGATGTGGGGTTGGAAGTCACACTGGTTTTGTGACCTTCTGCTAGGACCCTGTTGGGAGGGGCTGGTCAGCAGCCTGTGGGTGCTGATGGCTCAGGGGGGACGGTGACTTGGGAGGGGCTGTCGGGGCCCATGGGGACACGGCCAGTGACCGGAGAGCTCGTCCGGCTCTGGGTGGGGCAGTGAACCCGGGCGAGGCGGTGGGAGGAGGTGGTGAGAGCGGCTCCCGGGCTGTCAGTGGGTGGAAGGCAGGGAGGATGGAGCGCGTGTCTTGCCCCTGTGTGGCCCAGGCCTGCGTGGAGCTGGCTCAGCTCTGGAGCCCAGAGGTGCCCGCGGCCAGGAGAGCGCCCTCACCGCGTACTTCTCCTGTGTCAGGTGCCGGGCGGCTGACGGGGCGCTCCACTGGCCTCCCTTCTCCACACGGTGGCGGCTCCCAGGCCCTCCGCCTTGGGCAGCGGCTGAGTGTTCCAGTTAGTTCTGGGCGGTGGCCATGGGGGCTGAGGGGCCCTTGTCCCATGGGTGGATGGCCATGCCCCCGCCCCATGTCCCTGCGCTGGAATCGGCTCCTGCCCTGGGGGGCTGGGTGGGGAGCGAGCGGGTGAAATGGGCAGCAGGCAGGGTGTCCTGGGGGCCTCCCTGCTGCTGTCGGTGGTCAGACTCCCTTCTGAGAAGGGGCCCTTTAAGAGCGTAATGGAGAGGGACGGGACCTCGGAAGCGTTTCCTTGTGGCCTGGGTGCACACGAGAAGACTGGGCACCGCCGATTCTCTGAAAGGAACACGCGAGCCCTCCCAGGACAGCTGTGGGCAGACGCGGTAGCTGCTCAGGACGGGGAACCCCCCCCTCGATGGTGCAGTGGCCCTCCTGACCACAGGCCCCTGGCGCCTCCATCCTGTGAGGACAGGCACTTGGTTGACACCCTGCGCACCGGCTGCTGGGGACCCGATGGGGTGGGGAGGGGCTCATTGCAACCACAGCATCCTCGGAGGGGAAGAGGGGACATACAGGGCTTCCTGTGAGCCTGGCTGAGTCCCCAGGACCCGCCTGTTTCGTCTCCTTTTTGAATATATCTTTATTGTTGAAAGTATTACATATGTTCCCTTTTCCCCCTACACTGACTCCCTCCAGCCTGCCCTGCCCCCTACCCCAGGCCTTCACCATCCCATTGTCTGTGTCCACGGGTGATGCATCAATGCAAAGTCGTGGGTTGTCACCTCCCACCCATCCTCCCCCGCCTGCCCCCCGAGGTTCTGCACTCTGTCCCATGCTTCCGTTCATTAGTTTATTATGCTCATCGGATTCTACCTATGAGTGAGATCACGTGAGACTTGTCTTTCTCCGACTGGCTTGTTTCACTTAGCATGATACTTTCCAGGTGTCTCCGTGCTGCCTCAAGGGTAAGAGGTCCTTCTTTCTCACAGCTGCAGAGTATTCCCCGGTGTCAATGCACCACAGCCTTTTGATCCACTCCTCTGCTGAGGGATGCTTGGGCTGTATCCAGCTCTCAGCTGTGGTGATGGTGCTGCTAGGACCGTAGGGGGCACACGTTCTCTCTGGTGGGCGGGTGTTTCGAGGACCTGCCTGCCCGGTCATTTAAGAGTGTCACTGAAGTGCTCATTCAGTGCACAGACCCCCTGCTACCGAGGCTCCTCCCCAAACCTTTCCACACAGACGTCGTCCCGGGCGTGAACATGAGCTCTGCAATATTTATGCTAATAGGGTTCATGAATAAATGTGCTTTTAAAAAATGCTGTTCTGAATGTTATTTTCCAAAGAGAGCAGCACCCGATACACGCCTCACGCCGGCGGGGCCGGGCGCCCTGGGCGAGGCCGGCAGTGGCTCCCGGGGATGGTTGGTAACCAGTGACTTCGAGGACACGGGGTTTGGGAACACCGCCCTCACACGGGTGAGCGTGTCCACGCTGCTGGAGATGGGCAGGCTCTGAGGGCATGAGAGCAGGGACACGGGTCCTGGGACCTCCCCGAGCCCGTGGCCCCGGGCCGGGGGACTGGTGGCACCGGCAGGACATGGTGTCCTTCGTGTGTCCAGTGGCGTAAGGCAGGGACCTCTGGGGCAGCAGCCGTAGGGGCTGCTCCTGGGTATGAGAGAGGCTCTATCCATTGAGCCAAACTGGCCAGGGCCCCATGAAGTTCTTTTCCTTTGTCATTGTTTTCTTAGATTTACTTCTCCTTCCCCAAGTTACTGCGACCACGAAATAAGTTAGCCACACAGAACTTCCCTTTTCTTTTCTTCTTTTTTTTATTTAAAAACTAACAAAGAACTTAGCGACAAGTATAATAATTTAACCTCTACACGTAATGCCATGGGAACATCTACAGAGGAGGGAGCACGACTGTTCACCTTGTTTTTTGTATCAAAGTTTTGACTTAAATCTTCCTAAGAGACGGGTCGCGTTAGAGACACGTTGTGATGGAACTGCGAGATGCCTTTGGAAACACTCGTTTTTTCTGACCCGAAGACGCTGCGATTTCTGAATAGGAGGGGGCGCATCTGCAGTCTCCTTCCGACTCCGCGAGTTTTGTTGGTTGGTTGGTTGGTTGGTTGTTGTTCTGAACCTAGACTGCTCCGTTCACCAGGGCGGCGTGGGCGGGCACAGAGCCGTTAGAAAGCCACGCACCCCCTCGCTCCATCCACCCAAGCGGGGGGCCTCTCGGGACACAGGAGACAGCTTGTCGCAAACATTTTGAACGTTAGTGAGAAACAGTATAAACACGTGAAACACGGCTTTCCAATTCCATGTCTGCGTGACACCGTTCCTCCGTGGTACAGGGCCCTCCGGTTCGTCCTTCTTTCCCACAAAATAGTTCCCAGCCCCGCTGACCCAGCCCCAAGGATGCGCGTGCCCTCCTGCAGCGTCTCCACAAAAGCCGTCTGTGCTTCCTGTCCCGGGAGCGGGCGTCTGGGGCCCGCTGGAGCAGCTCCCGAAGGATGCCGCTCGGTTTCCGGTTCTGACCCCAGGCCGGCCCCTGCGAGGCCCCTGAGGACGGGCACACCGCGGACAGACGGAGACTCGCTGCTGCATCAGGAGGGAGACGCAGGCGAGAACCAGCTCTCGTCCTCCCGGCGGCCCCGCCCGGGGCACCGCTCCGTTCCCGGCAGCGGCCCGGGACCAGGGCGAGCGTGCCGGCGGCAGCGTGGATGTCGGACGGAGGGACAGAAGCGCGAACACTGGGTTTCCTCGGGCGCTCACAGACTACTCAAAACGTGATCCGTACGGAGAAAAGGCAAAAGGGAGATCCCTACACGTCTTCCTGTGAAAAGCACACGAACGGACAGACGACGTCATTCAATAGACCAAGGGGTTCCGATTTCTATCAAAAGATACTGGCAAAGGGATGAGTGAAAAAATAAAGGAACTGAGATTTGTATTGCAATGTGTAATCAAAAGAGACCTCTGTCCGGGCTGATTGGAAAAATACCTAAAAACATCTGGTTCACAGCTTTCCCCTAGCGTGTGAGTGATTACGGTTTGCGACTAGCTTAGGTGTAGGCGGTCCTACGCGGTGTGACGGCGGCCGCTGAACGAGACACAGGGCCGCGCTCCGAGGCGGACCGGCCTGCCTCAGTCAGCGCGGCCAGTGGTCCCGGGCGCCGGCCTGCGCTCCGGGGAACAGTGTCTCCCAGACTGGTGCCCCGGAACACGTCCCCAGGGCAGGGCACACAGCGATGTACTGGTGGCCGTGTCCTCCGCTGTGTGTCTCTACGCAGGTTCTACGCCAGAATTCAGCACGTGGCCTTTGGGTATCAAAAGATTAAAAATGAGACCTAAGAAAGCTCCATGTCCAGGGGCAGCGCTGACAGGCCTGGCCCGGGGCCTCCTGGCAGCCGGTCGTTTGGAAATGAGCAGTAAACGTGGCACAGGGGCGGTGATGGGGGGAGGGGGTGCCGAGTCTCGGGGGTCACGTGGCTTAGCGCGGCAGCACGTGAAGGCAGACACACAGAGTCCCGTGTGAGAGATGGTTCATGGTCTCCGACCACTTGAAAAAATTGTGCTTTCTCCGGAGCGTGATGTGCTGGACCCCGCACGCGCCCCCTGCGTGGTGGCCATGGGAGGGTGACAATGAAGTCCTTGGCAAACGTAAGGCTCGCTTTTCCTCGCCCCGTCTTTAGGATGAAGGCTTGGAAGTCATGATGCGTCTCAGCTGTGCACGGGGGGCCGCCCGCCCGCCGATCGGCAGGTGGACACAGCCGCCGGCCGCGGGCCGGGCGGGGGCGGCGTGGCTAGTTGTCCTCTCGGTTTCACGTCCCACGTCCGAGGGCGGCGAGGGGCCGCCGGCAAGTGGCGCCGGGACGCCCTCGCTCCGCCAGCGGTCCGTCCGTGCGAAGGCCTTTTTGGTGAGCAGGGCGGCGCCCGCGGCGGCCACGGGGCCCCCCGTCCTCCTCGCTTCGGACAGGGACCGGGCGCCCCCGTGGGTGGTGAAGAAGGCCCGTGGACGCCACAGGCCGCGCGCGTCAGAGGAACCAGAGTTTCCACCTCCCGTGCTTTTTGGGCTCCGTCTTGGATTTCCGCTTGGGCGTCGAGGCGTGCGCCTCCTGAGAGTAAGGCGAGGGTGCGACCTGAGAGTCCTCGAAGGGGTGGAGGCTCCGCAGGACCGGCTGCAGCTTGTCCTCCTGCTGCTTGAAGTCGAGCTCCACGCTGCAAAGGAGAGAGCAATGCCTTTAGTGGGTGGCCTCTCCCCCAAAGGTCCCCCTGGTGACCTGACCGGGGTCATCGTTCATGCATACCGTGTTTATACCTTCAGCTGACGGCTCCATGGTTGCAATCTATTTTATGTCATTGTGAGGTACCCTTGACTGTTGAGCGATGTATGGGTTCAAGGGACCGGTCTCCCTAGCAGTTGACAATCTTTTTAACCCTTTTTAAATTTTATTTTACTTTTTTATTGACTTCAGAGATGAAGGGAGAGGGAGAGAGATAGAAACATCCATGATGAGAGAGAATCATTGACTGGCTGCTCCTGCATGTCCCTCCCTCACTGAGGATTGAGCCCACAACCTGGGCATGTGCTGTGACCGGGATTTGAACCATGACCTCCTGGTTCATAGGTCATTGCTCAACCCTTGGGCCATGCTGGCTGGGCTGTGTGTGACTTTTGACCCCCCAAAACCTTAACTACTAATAGCCTACTACTGTTGAGTGGGGGCCTTACAGATAGCATAGTCGCTTAACATGTATTTGTGGGTTACATGTATCATATCCTGTATTCTTACAGTCAAGTACACTAGAGAAAGGGAAATGTCATCAAGGACATCATAAGGAAGAGGAAAACACACTCATGGTATTTTTATTGGAAAAAAGAAACCCGCTTGTAAGTTCAAACCTGTGTTGTTCAGGGTCCATTGTGTTTCAAATAGACTTCTTTTCCTAGAAAAATAACTGGTTTGTTTTCATTCTGAACCCCTGGAGTGTCCACACGCACAGCTGGGGTCAAGTACGTCCAGTCCGGTCAGGGACGGCGGTCCCGAAGGTGAGGCCGAGCTGACCCCACCTGTTGCCTAGTGACGCCGTAGCCGTCACAGCAAGCAGGTGCCCGGGTGTCTGTGGGGATGCTGGTGTAGGCCCCCCTGCCCAGCCCGTCATGTAAAAGTAACCCCACACACTTATGTTCATGGTACGGGATGATGTCCACGGAAGGGCACGTGGCTCTGTTGGCATGTGCTTTGCCGACTAGATGTCTCATGGTTGCTTGTGAGGGCCCTTTCTCCTCCTGGAAACAGCGTTGTCTGTGAAAGGCGTGGAGCCCGGGCACACAGGCCAGGCCATGCCTCCACGTGTGCAGGCGGCGCACCAGCCAGGTGTGTGGAAGTGCCCTACAATGCTCGCACACAACCTAGCTGCCCAAAGACACGCTTCTCAGACTCATCCCCGTGGGCACATGGCGCGTGGCCGTCACGCGCTGGAGTGGAGAACGTGGCGTCGGAGTCACCCTCAGCTCGTCCGTGGACTGCACGCGGTTATAAGCAGGTCACTGAAGGTCTGCATGTTCAGAAGGCCTCTCAGCACACACGTGCCGGCGCATGCAAGCTCTATTCTGGGCCCTTTTCCATGGTCACAGCGATGGGTTCCCACCGGATCGCTCGGCGAACAGAAGGCCGTGATTCCGTTCTCTGGTCCAGTCTGAGCTACCTGGAGAGCGAGGACCCCGAGATGCCGATGTGGGCGAAGGGGGCGTGTTCATCCCGTCGACATCTCGGACGGTACCGTTACTGAAGGCGGTTGTTCAGGCCAAAGCACAGAGTTGGATGAAAAGTAACCCCAAACCGCAATGGCATTGCAAAGCTGCCGTGCGGAAACACGCAGCCCCGTGGGGATGGGACGGCGTGGTGATGAGTGTGACAGCGGCAGGATCCGCGTGGCTGTTTGAAGGAAATGCTGTTTCTCCGGGAATTTCTTCAGAGCGTGCAGCTTGCCGAGAGTCCTCCCTTCCCTTCCCTTCGTGTTGAAAAGGCCGTGGTCTATCCTCCAACCTTCACTAACGCTTTACGGTCGCCTTGGCCTTGGGATCGGACGCCTGGTCCGGTGTCATTTTTCCGTAACCAGCCCGCATTGCCGAGCCTGCTGCCCCTCCGCCCGCCTCCCCGGACCCCTGGCATCCTCCATTCGGACCCTGCGTCAAGCCGCCAGGCTCCGGACAGCTCCGCTCATGCCCCTTCCGCGTGTGGCCTGGGTGCCCTGCTGAATGTCAGTGGATTTCAGTCAGGGTCCAGTGACCAGGAGAATCCATGAGCTCCCAGCCATTTATAAACACGAAGCCCTACTGACTTAGCGGTCCATTAATCCTGGACAGACCCTGACACCGAGGAGAGAAACTGCTGAGCTGTGTGATCTGCGGTTCTAAACACAAGCTGAGACCCAGGTAATGGCCGTTTTGTGTTTCACATCCGCTGTTCCATTTCCTTACTGTCAGAGGCTCTGCACTATCGATATTATGGAAAGGTTAGAAATATTGCCAGGAACTTTTACAGAGGGTAGAGGCAGCACTTGTGGCTTAGGTCCTGCTCACCTGGGTCACATGACAATGGACATAGCTTCTCACCTGGATCACGTGACAGTTGGCAGTTCCTCACCTGGATCATGTGACAGTGGGCATATGCCTCTAAGGACAGTTGTGAAAGGTGGGAATCTCAGAACGCACTGCATCTGAAAGCACAGCCCTCGAAGGGAAGGGATCTGTGCTGTCGATGTTGGGGGGCAGAGGCTCCCCTAAGCACCTTATCCTCCTTAGGGCTCAGTTTCCTTCACCTCAAGGGTTATAATCACTACTGCCTGACTGTCTCCCTGAATTAGGTAAGGATCCCTCACCCGCCCGCTCCCCAAAAGTAAAAGTTGGTGAAAAGGTTTTCTAAACTGGGACGTGGAAGTCAAACCTTATGTTCTGCTGATTATCAGCTGACCGTCAATTCTGCAGTGAGAAAAGGAGCTGGCAGTGATCGGGGCAACACCCACGGGGGTTCTTCACCGGGATATTGAACAAGAAACACGGGACCTCGCTGCCGAGTGCCGGATACGGAGTCCTGTGCGATACCGTGTTTGATACGATACCGTGTCCGGTATGGCGTGTCAGGGGCAGGAAGCGATTGTCCCGGGCGCTTGGTGCACGCTGAAAGCGTGTCCCCCACACCACAACCACGGCGGGGCCCCGTGCCGGCCATCACCAGGCCGTGGGGCGGTGGTGGCTGTCCCCAGGCCAGCACCACAGCCCTGGGTGCCTGTAATCATCGGATTCCCATTAAGTAACTACACTGGGAATCCCGTTATTAACCAATTTATCACACCGCGGAACCATGTAATCACAGAGAAATCTAATCTGGGCCCTTGTTAGGGGGAGGGCTGGACTTTATCTGTCCGGCTGATTCCTATTGGCACTTCTCCATTACCAGCGGCTGCGCCCGGCGCTGAGTCCTGGGGGGGCGTGTGGTGGGGGGACTGCCGGCCGTGGGGCAGCGCGGTGAGCCCCGGCCTCCACCCTCTCCTGCCCGATGAGCCCCGTGCGGGAATCGAAGGAGCTCGCGTCCGTGAGGAGCCGTGGTCGCCCATGGGCGCGTGGCCGCTCTCCGGCTCCCGTGGGCCTGGTTCTGAGACGTGGCTCCCGCGGGCCCGCTGCAGAGTCAGCAGACGGGGTCGTCTCCTGCCAGGGCCTCACGTTCGCCGCGGGCTTTTCCCCACAGACACCCGAGCTCCACGGCTCACAGGGCTGGTGCCGCGATCACCTGGCCCCGCGCCCACGGCTCCCCTTTCTGTTCGCACAGAGGAAACCCCGCTCAGGTGCCCAAGGCCAGCATCGGGGCAGGCGCAGGTGGTGGACACCCCCCGCTCCGCTCCCCGCAGCTCCTGAAGGGGCACGTCACCAACTCAGCAGTCACGAGGGCACAAAGGTCCCTGTGCATGGCCGTCCTCTTCCCGCTTCGGGGGAGACACGCTGAGGGACCCCAGGGGCTCAGCTCCCGCCGGGAGAACCCTCGCTCACACTGGCCGCCTCCCGTGGTTCTCCGGAGAGCGGGCGGGGGCTGGAGGGAGGAGCTGTCCAGGAGGTCACTGAGCGATTCCGAATAGTAACCCCCCGGGGTAGTTCCCGAAGAAGAGGAATCCCTGTTCTCCACAGGCTGTTAAATCGCCTCTAATACCGCGTTTAATGTATGTTCCTCCTGGATTTAGAGCCAAATGTATTCAAATGTCTCCGGTTACATGGCGGACGTCCTAATAAATTCTCTTCTCATCTCGCGCGGAATGTTAAACGGCTGGGGGCTCGCCATGCGCGCTCCGGGCCTTCTCGGGGAGTCCGTGGCTCACGTCTGCCCGGGGGCTCAGCGTTAGCTCCCGGGGTAGCAAAAGGTGAGCCCCGAGGACATGCGTGAGCGCCCATGTTCCCGCCTGATGGCGTGGAGGGTGACAGGTCAGGGACACCCCTCACTCTCCGTTCAGTTCCCTCTGCAGCGTGGACGCAGGGAAACAGGCCCCACTGGTGTGCAGTGCGGGGCTCCTGCTCCTGACCCCAAGGGAGCAGCCATCAAACACATACCAGTCAGCGAAACCGCTCAGACACATGAGATACACGCATCAAGCTCCCCCGGTCCGGTGAGCACACACCTGGGGTTGCGCCGGAGGAAGGTGCTGGATTCGGGTGGAGAATGCCCTTTCCTTCCTGACTGCTGCCCCCCTCCCCGCGCGGGGCCCCTGCGTCTGTGGGTAAGCATGGCCGTCGCTCTAACAGGGAGGGGGCACGTACCTGTAGATGACGCAGGCGCTGTTCCTGCACGTGTCACAGTTGGCCGTGTCCTGCCCGGTGCGGTAGGAGAGCCTGCGGGGGGAGAGCAGCAGAGGTTACAGGGGGGGCGGGGGCCGGGACCGCCGTCCCAGGGCCCTCTCCTCACGGCGATGGGGGAGTCACGTGTGCCCATCTCGCTCCCGTCTCTGTGGCTGCACACCGCTGAGACGGTGTGTAAATTAAATCTGGAACGTGAACACAAGCTGCCGGAGGAAGCGAATAATCTGGTTCGGTTATGAGCAGAGGGAGCCTGGGATGCTTCTGTGCGGCTTTTCGTGTCTGGTGTTTGCGAGGAACCCGGAGGGGAAACCAGCTCCCCCGTGTCTGCCCCCAGCTTTGAGGGGCAGGTTTCCGTGAAGCAGCCCCCCCGGCTCTCCGTCCACACGGCCGTCGGTGGAGACCCCCGAGCCGTGCAAACCTTGGCCCGCATCCCGGGTTCCACCTGGAACTGGCTTGTGTGTCCTCGTTACGTTTTGCGTCACACGGACACCCGGCCGAGGATTTCTCCTCGATGCCCTGGCGTCTCCGTGACCCGGGGACGAGGGACTGCATTCTGCCCGGCGTGGCGCCGTCCTCGTCTGTGCCGTCCTCCTGGTTGAGCAGGATTGGGGGTGGTCCGAGGCGGCATTTGTGTTGACCTTCATCCACCACCACTTCCCTTTGGGGGCGCCTTCGGGACCCCCCATCAGCCTTCCTCGCTGCCCGGGACTAAGGCAGGAGAGGAAGAGGGAAGAGCGCGTACGTGGCACCTCCCCTTTTCCTCCGCCAGCCCCTTCCCGGCACGCCTCCCTCCCCAACAAGCCCCCCTCACATTCCCGCCGGGCCTGGCAGTGTTCCAGGACCCCGTTATCAGGACCTTGGCCTGGAGACACCCCTCGGTGTGGGCCTCGGGGTTTGCGTTGGACCTTTCTGTGTGAAAAGGGTTCAGACGCTTGGGGTCCATAGTAGTTTGTGGGCGTGGAGGTCCGTGCCAGATTAATTTCTGAGTCAAGTTCCACGCGCTGCCTCCTGCCCTGGGGTTCAGGCCCAGGCTGCCTCCGCCCAGGTGTGCCTGCTGCTCTTTATTCCACCGAGGACTCACCCGTGGGCTCAGCGCTTCGATAATCCATCTCACTGTCTTTGGCGCTTCCACGCTGCAGGGTTTGGCTTAGCTGGGCGTTTTACTGTCACGTTCATCATTGCGCCGCAGCCTCTGAGGGGACGTGCTCTCCGGATACAGACCTGGCAGGTGACTTGTTGCTACAGGACAGGGAACACACATATGGATTCCCCCTGGTTTCAGCGTCTCGCTGGGAAGCAAGCCATACAGCTGGGACGTGGGGTGGTTATCTCCCTTTCCCCCTCTGTCACCACGAGGAGCGGGCCCTGTGGAGCAGGGGTGTCTCCAGGGCCAGCGGGGCCGCGCTGTCTGTGACGGGAAGTGAGGAGAGAGAGCTCGGGGTGCTGGTTAAAGCCGAGGGGCCGGGAAGTCCTGGTCAGAAATCAGCGTGCTCAGTCCTGCAGGCGAACGGCTCCGTCAGCGAATCTCTCTTCCCTTCTGACGTGAGCAACTCGTTACGGCGCAGGTTTCTCACCCTGGGCCGGTCTCCATGCCCACACGCCCCGGCGTTTGCGCCATGTGGATCTGACCAAATAAGACAGCCTCTGTGCTCTCAGATGGAAGTGCGGAGAGAGACAAGTCTAATGAGAAAAATTCCAGCCGCGTGCGGGAAGCAAATGAAAAGTATAAATTGTGGGACGCTCTGGCCCTCGTTTGTTCCCATCAGGAGCCCCGGCAGACCCCCATGACAGGCGTGCTCGGTGGAAATGTGGGTTTTTAGCGCATCGGTCTCTGTAGCACCCGCCCTGTATTGCGCCGTGACAATAATTTGCTGGTTGCCATGATTTCCTGGTCTTAGAGATGCATGGAACTTTAAGAAAACAGCATTCAGCACCAAGGACAGTGCCGAGACTCCGAGTGAACCTTTGCAGGGCTTTTTGCCTCCTTCCCTCTTCGGTCCTCCCACCCTCACCACCCACACCCCACTCGCCATCCCTCGGGAGCACAGTTCCCACCCCAGGACCCATCTGGGACCCTGGGCCTCTCCTCACATGATGCCGCTGGGCCCTCGTTGGTCGTGGGGGGCTTCAGTGGGAGGCAGAGGCGGCGGCGTGAGCCATGGAATTGAGGGGGGGAGCGCCTGGTGGTGCCGGGCTTGTTCCCAATTGGCCGAGGCAGGAGGCTCTGCGCAGGCTGAGCTTGCCACGCCGTCTCAGTCAAGTCTGAAGGTCACTTCCCCTCCTGCTTGGCAGGGAGGCCAGGCCGCTGTCCGGAGCTCTGGCTCCTCTTCAGTGGAAGTACGTGTTTGGGAGACGGCGTGAGCGCCAGCCCGGGCTCCCCGTTCTAATCAAACGCTGGGGGCTCCCATGGAGAAGCCTCTCCTGGCACCCCCGGGGCGTGTGACGTTGGGTTCAGAGAAGCCCTCTCCGCTCTGTGAGCACCTGCCGTGGCCGGGCCTCGGCCTGTGCGGGCGGAGACAGGCCCTGCCGAGTGTCTGTTCCTGTAAACAGCACGGTGGTTCTCCGCCAGGGTAGCGTCTCTAGGGCCTGAGCAAAGGGCACCTGGGCTCAGGTAAGATCGAGGCGCACTCCTGTCACTGTGGGCTTCAGAACACGGGGCACCGGGATCCCTGGCACTGCTGCTCCGAGTGAGGCCGCAGCGCGGGCGGGACGGCAGAGCGGGGCCAGCCCTGCTCCCGGCAGAGGGCTGTGCGCCCATCAGTTGGTGCCCTTCGTCCCGGTGCACTGGTTCTGTCCGCGGCGTCCTCCCTGGTGCCAGAGACCTGCCGCGGCCTCGCCCGGGTCGCGTGCCAGCTGCCCCGTCCTGATAACCAGCCGTCATTTATCTCCGCCTCCTCACGGGCCTCTGCACGCCGGGCTCCGCGCCGCATTGGTGACAGGCGGAGAGCCGCGCCCTCCTGCCGCCGGGAGGAGCAGGACGCCTGATCGGGGGGAGTCAGCGGTTCTCCGTGACCCCGAACAGGGGCTGAGCAACTCCCCGCCCCCCCGCTGTGGTCCGGGCCGGGTCCCGAGTCCGGGGTCCCACCGGGAATTCGCCAGCTGTGTTTGGAAGCTCCTCAGGAGCCACAGTGCGAGTAGGAGGAGGTGACCTGTCCCACGCACCGTTCACGACCGGATCTGGGGACACCCCAGCTCAGCTTGTTAAAACGTGACGTCGATTTTCCTAACGAACTCAAGGTCACCGGTCAGTCAGGGAGGCAGTACTGGTCCTCCCAGTGAGCGTGACTGTCCGTCTGCCGGGAGCCCAGTGGCGGCGTCTGTAGCCGGCGGCGGACCCACTGTGTTCTGCTGAGCAGCTGTGTCCCCTAGTGGCCAGGGTCCCCACGCAGACAAAGCACTTGGTTTGTTTTAACTGAGGTTGTGTTTGAGAACAGTGATCCCCCCTCGTTGTGCCTCCCACTTCCCCTGCCTTAGGGGCGTCTGAGGGGGTTGGCTGTGTGAAGCTTTCTTAGGGTGCTCAGGGCGCACCCTCGGGAGCAGCCCCCTCGGTCCTCCCAGTGCCCTTTGACCTCCCTCAGTAATTCCCTACATGAACACCTGCCCTCGGGTCTCATCCTGGCGGCCTTGTATCTTTGTTTGTCCCGCCAGTCCATGTCGGGGTGCTAATCCGTGTCGGGGTGCCAGTCCGTGTGGGGTGCCAGTCCGTGTGGTGTGCCAGTCATGGAGAGGAGTCAGTGAAGGTTTGGGAGGCACAGAATGAGGGGTGCAGAGAAGAGGGGAGCGTTGTGGGTGCTCGGCCCAGAGACGTTTCCAGGGAGTCTCCCCAGATCCGCCGGGAAAGGTGAGACCGTTTTTTGCAGAGCTCAGTGGAAATTGCACGGGGTTTTAAAAAGCATCTGAAAACTAGAACCTGCTTTTCATCCCTTTAAAAGAAAAATCTGAATTCCAGGACACAGATCCATAAATTCCATAACCTCTCGGGTCGAGCCTGGAGTCGCTCGTTCGCCGGCAGATGGGCGTCTGCTCTGTTTACCTGCCCGCCTCGGAGGCTGGGGGCGGCATTTGGAATCTGCATTGGCGCTCTGCGGAGGGAGATTATTTAAATTACATTTCCAAGTGTGCGAGCCTACTCGGAGCCCAAAGCAAGAATGTGGAACGTGGTTTATAGTCTTAGCAGCATATTGGCTTCATTTCTCACATTAAGATTGGGAAGCCTGTTATTTTTCAGGAACGTAAAAAATAGTGTTTACAAAGTTATACAAACACAAGCTACAGAGAAGACTCCCCGTGGCCCTGTGGGTTAAAGAAAATGCTAGAAAGAATAGACGTGGGCTTCCCTTTCAAAGGCATCAGATATGACAAGCTTTAGAAATGGAGTACGTTATCGCAAATGTGTGGAAGCCATCAGCTGCAGCAGAAACAGAAAAGGACAGAGGCCAAGCCTGGCACGGATGTTGGTAGAAGGATGAGGGATGGGCGAGGGATGGGGGGGCGAACAAGGAACAGAACTGTGGGGTCGCTGTGCGTGTATTGATGGGCATCGATGGCGGCCTCCTTCCCTCCTTCCCCCCCCCCCCCTCTCTCTGTCTCTCCCTCTCTCTCTCAACCTTTGTGAGTGTTCTCAGGCAGTGGCTGAAGTGATGATGCTCTTAGACATCTCTGAAAATCTGTCTGTGGAGCAGAAAGAAGCCTGGGTGCCTCCTCTCACAGGGGCCCTTTAACATGGGAACACGCAGCTCAGGGAGGCTGGGCCAGTGTGAGCCACGCCCAACCCACGGGTCCTGGCTCCACACCAGCGGCTCTGTCCGTGACGACAGATAACCTTCTCCTGCACACGTCTCTGAAAATGAGCACAAAGCCGAGGCCTCCGTTCTGTAATCCTCTCCCAACTCCTGGGAATAAAGCAGCCTCTTTACTGGTGGTTCTCATTCTTTCTAATGCTGTGACCCTTTAATACAGCTCCTCACGTGGTGGCCACCCCGACCATAAAATTATTTTCGTTGCTACTTCATAACTGTAATTTTGCTGCTGTTATGAACTGTAAACAATCTGTGTTTTCCGATGGTCTTAGGCGACCCTGCTAGCGGTTCTGGTTCTCAACCTGTAAGTCATGGCCGACAGAGTGAGAACAGCTGCTGTAGAGCCTAAGACCATCGGAAGTAACGAAGTTAACTAGGAAGTAACAAAGTAGCCAGGAAGTATACTAACAAAGTAACTAAAAAGGCAGCAAGTCCTGGACAAGCGCCCTGTCCACTGCGTTTCACTCAGTCTCCGGAGCAGCTCGGCAGGCACTCCCAGCTCCTTTGCAGAGCGAGCAGCTGAGGCTCCGAGCGGGGAATAAGCTGCCCAGCACAGTCAGCGGGGGCGGCCGGACAGCGCTGCCGACTCTGAGCTGAGCCCCATCCTTCCACTCGGTCCCCCTGAAAAGCCAATGCCAGGAGCAGCCACCGCGGCCGCTGGCAGGCTGTCAGCTGTGTGGGTGACAGCCAGCGTGCAGACACAGACACACATGCATCTAGAACATCAGGGATCCGGGCTCAGGGTGGGAGGAGGAAGGGACGGAGCGCAGCTGCAGGGCAGGACCCTCTGGCTTCTGATCCCCCAGCCAGGTCGAGCCAGACGCCGCCCGAGAGGCCGGCTGGCAGAGCACCAGGAGGCCAGCGAGACAACGGCACCCGCGCCCTCTCCTAACTCCACCGCCCAGCGAGCCAGGGGAGCTTGGGTCTGAATGTACTGCGTGGGCAGGTTTTGGCAGGAGCGACCCGATCGTCCTTGAACAGGGCGCCCAGTTCTCGGGGGACGGGGGGACGGACGGACCCTGGTGAGTCCCCGGCAGACCCTCACGCCCTGGCCCCGGCGATGGCGTCTTTGCCTTGGCTGCCGCAGGCATGCGGTCTTCTGCTCTGACTGACACAGAAGACGCTGTCCCCTCTGCGGCCTCCGTGTCGGGGAGGCGGCCGTGGTTCCGTGTGGGCATGGGCGTCAGGGTGAGGACGGCGGAGGAGCGCCTGCCTCTGAGTGATCGTCCCATTTCTGTCCGCCGAGCGTCAGGTCCGAGGTGAAAGCAAGTCACATCGCACAGCGCGCCGCTGGGAGAGCCAGACCCTGCCCGTGTGTCACAGGGAGTGCCCATACATGTCACTCATTAAACTGCAGCCCCGGGGTTCAGGGGCCCCTCTCTGCCCATTCGGCAGTTCAGGGCCCCCAAGTGGCCAGGCTCTGCCGCGCCCTCCCCACACACCCCCTCCCCCAGGCCTGCAGGTGACACCTAGTGAGGCCTGATGGCATCCTACCCCCCCTCCCCCAGGCCTGCAGGTGACACCTAGTGAGGCCTGATGAGGAACGTCGGCTTCCCTGGGGCCGACAGACCCCATCTGGAGCTGGAACACCGGCCCCCGTGCAGAGCACTCGCTGTGCTCCAAGCAGGAACTGGCATGGCCACCGGCCCAGCTCAAAGGCACCACCTGCCCTGCGCCAGCACCGTGCCCGAGGGCGAGGCCACGGCCCGCCAGACCTGCTGCCGCCTGCCGTGCCCAGTGAGTGTGAGGCGGCATTTCTCAGGAGATTCAGAGCCAGGGTGCCTGCCCCCCGGGGCTGAGGCCTGTGAGATTCCGTGCCCAGCAGGCCCTCCACGCTGGGCATGCGGGGGAGGGAGGGGGCGAAAGGTGGGGAGAGACATTGATTTTACCCAGCTTCTGAGCCTCCTCCACTCTCATTACAAACGGCAGCGTGTCTCCCAAGGAAAACGCACTGATACTTGAACTTGGCCGTGAGGCCCTGCACCGGTTACATAATGTAGGATCATCTCCACAGAGTGGAGGGCGTTTGCTGCCTTCTGCCCTGGGAGGCAGGCAGAGCACTGGCTTCCCAGCTCTGATGGACACTGTGGGGTTCCTCCCTCCAAAGTGAGGGTCTTGGGGCGTGCCGTCAGGCCCCACGCTCAGAGGGCCCGGACGTCCAATGTGCGGGGCCTCGCGATGGTGGAAATACACCCAGGAAATCAGCAAATGCTGCTCCCCCTCCCCCCACGCTGTCGCTAAGGAAGCATCAGCCGTCTCCCTGCCCGGACCCTGGAGAGGGACGAGGCGCCCCCTGAGGCGGTTCCTCTCCACATTCCCACTGGGGGAAGGGGGGAGCTTGAGTTTGGACCAAACAAATGACCTGGGCACAGCACGAGGGTCACGGGCAAGGCGGGCAGGGGTTTGAAACACCTGCTGCTTCGTCCTCCGAGAGCGGAGTGCTGGAGCCGGAGGAGGAGGACAGGAGGGGCTTGGGACAGAGGTGGGCACGGGGTCTACGACCGGCATGCCTGGGACCCCTGTTCGCTCTGGGTGTGTCCATGCTCAGTCCACGGGCCTGAAACGGGAGGAGGTGGAGATGGGGGCCTGTTGGCGGCCTTTGACGGCAGGCCCCTCGGGATCTCCTGGAGACGGCCTCCGGCTGGAAACGTGCCCAGTGACTGCAGACCCTGCACTGGGACGGGAGGTGGGGTATCGAGGACTGACTCCTCACGTAGATGGGGCTCCCCCACGAAGCCGGAGAGCCGGAAGCCAAGGCAGATCCTGCTCCCGGCACCTTGCCCATAGCCTGCCTGGCCCCCACGGCCTGCCTGGCCCCTCTACAGCCTGCCCCTCCCATGGCCTTCCCTTCTCCCTATGGCCTGCCCCCCACACGCGGCCTGCCCGCCCCTCTACTGCCTGCCCTTCTCCCCATGGCCTGCTCCCCCCCTACTGCCCACTCCTCTCTCTCCCCCTCCCCCAGGCCTGCCCACCCCTTTCCCTCCCCCCTCATGGCCTGCCCATCCGGGCTTAAGTCCAGCATCCTAGCTTTCGGTCATTTGTTTTCAAATTTGCTGCAGCCCAATTTCACGTTCACAACCTGGGAACCACAGTTCAGCATCTAGCCGGGCTGGCGTGGCTCAGCGGGTGAGCGTTGACCTATGAACCAGGAGGTCAGGGTTCGATTCCCGGTCAGGGCACAGGCCTGGGTTGGGGCTCCATCCCCAGTGGGGGGCGTGCAGGAGGCAGCCGGTCCGTGACTCTCTCCCCTCATGGATGTTTCTCTCTCTCCCTGTCCCTTCCTCTCTGACGTCAATAAAAACAAAGTTCAGCATCGGTCGCCACTGCCGGCTGTTAGAGGTGTTGTTCCCTGTCGCCTGGGCCCGGAGGGCAGTGCGTGTGGAGGCACCTCTCCCGCCGCACACAGATGGCTGGTCTGGCGACGGGCGCTGGCTGCTTCTCTGAGTTTCGGGGTAGGAAGGGAACAAGTAAAGCCTGCCCAGCCCTGAGAACCCGCGCCACCCCGCTGTTCACTTATTGAGTCAGCACCTGCTCTTCAGAAGGCCACCGGAAACCTTTCCTCGCTGCCCCGCGCTGTGCTTCCTCAGCGGGGCAGTGTCCATGCTGGGACCGGCCTGGCCGTTCTCCCTCATCACCGTAAACTAAGGTGACCAGGCGTCCTGCTTTTGGTGGGACAGTCCCCATTTTTAACAATTTGTCCTGCAGCATCTTAAAAAAGTCCCGATTTTTTTAAAAACGCCGCGGGACAAATTGTTAAAAATCAGGACTGTCCCGCCAAAAGCCAGGCTTCTGGTCACCTTACTATAAACCCTTCGCCCTGGGACATCGTGCCTCCGGAGAGTGAGGACGGTGTGAAGGGCAGGCCGGGCGGGCAGCTGAGAGCTAGCCCACAGCCACCTCGAAGGAGCGCATGCAGGGGGTCTGGCCTCAGAGCCCGCCTGTGCCCGCCGGGCTTGCTCTGTGCTCCGCGGCAGCTGCCCCCGGGGTGGGCTGGGGGGACGGGCCGGGGGGCAGTGCAGCGGCAGGGCGGCGTGAGGTGTGCGGGCATACGTACCCTTCGCGGTGGGCCTCGCCCTTCTCCAGCTCCTGGATGACGCCCAGGAGCACTTTGATGGTCTCCTGGCTGGAGCTGATCAGCGTCTCCATCACCTGCAGCTGCGCCTTGAGGTCCACCACTTCCGTGGGAGGCACGAGTTGTTGGCATTCCTCCCCGCCGGCCACCCCCGCGGGGGCGGGAGGCTGCGGGGGGAGGTCACTACATTCGGGGGACAGGCACTGCGTCGTCGGGGGCGCCTGGAGCCCATTGAGATCCGAGGGGCAGAGGGACCACTGGCTGGTGGCGGCCGAGTTCGACAGGGCGGGCTCGGGGGCCTGGGCGCCAGGGGCGGCCGTGTAGACGGCGGCCACCTCCGTTTTAAACACTCTGCCCTGGCCCGCGGGAGCCGGCTCCTCCGTGCCCGGCGCGGCCCGGTCCCGTGGGGCTGTCCGGTCCAGCTGGTGGGCGGGCTCCCCGGAGGGAGGCCGGGGGGCGTTCCGGAGCGCGCTGCCCGGGCAGCTGTGCCCGCGGGGGTCCCGGCACAGCTCCGCGCCGCCCAGCCCCTCGGGCCGGCCCAGCGCGTCCACGTGCTGGTGGGAGCGGGACACCAGGGCCGCCGTCTTCTGCACCCGGCCGGCCGCCCACGCCGCGGCCTCCGCCCCGGGCCCCTGCGCGCCCCGCTGCCTGGCGTCCAGGACGAAGCCGTTGTTCTGGCTCTGGAAGGCGCCCTCGGCCCCCGGGACGCCCTTGAGGCTGCCCGTGCGGCGGTCGGGCGGGAAGGTCTGGTAGCACTTCCTGCGTTCCGGCGAGGTCTGCACGCCGGTGCTGCGGGTGACGTTGGGGATGGCCCGGCGGGCGGGCACCGTCATGTACTTGCGGTAGGCCGCCCGGTAGGACGCCGCCCGGGCCTCGCGCCTCTCGGGCCCCGGCCCCGCGGCCGGCGGCGGGTCCCGCCGCTCGCTCTGCGCCTCGCAGATGTCCTTGAAGCGCACCTGCAGGGCCTTGTTCCGCTTCCGCACCTGCCGGCGGGGGTCCAGCGCGTACTTCACCTCCAGCGCCAGGCAGGCGGCCGGCTCCGCATCGCTCTCGGGGGCTGTGAGCACGCATTTGCCCGCGTCCTTGCTGACCATGGTTCCTGCGGGCGAGACAGGGACAGAGGCGTCAGTGGGGGGAGGGCACAGCAGCAGGACGGCTTCCTGCTGACGCTCGATGCTTTTCATTTTACTTTTTGTTGTTAGTTTTCACCCAAGGACATTTTCCCATTGGATTTTAGGGAGAGGGGAAGGGACGACGAGAGCAACCTCGATGTGAGAGAGACACATCGATGGGTCGCCTCCTACATGCGCCCCAACCAGGGCTGGGGCTCAAGCCTGCCACTGAGGTACGTGCCCTTGACCGGAACCTAACCCGGGACCCATCCATCTGCAGGCCGATGCTCTAGCCACTCAGCCAAACCAGCTAGAGCTTAATTTATTTTAAATAGATTTTTATTGATTTCAGGGAGTAAGGGAGAAAGAGACATTAATGACAATCAGCTGCCTCCTGCATACCTCCTGCTGGGGATCTAGCCCGCAACCTGGGCATCTGCCCTGACTGGGAGTGGAACCCTGGCCCCTTGGTTCCTCGGCCGATGCTCAGCCACTGAGCCATGCCAGCTGAGCTTTCTGGTTATTCCAAAACAGGGGAGGTGGCCGTGACATTAAGAAGTCAGACGGCCCTGCAGGCACAGCTGGAAGTGGTCTGACAGGAAAGCCTGCCTCCTCGCCCACGTGGGAGACGCTCGCTTTTCCTTTGATCAAAACGCCCGTTCCCCGTCAGACAGACGGTCTCACTGCGCTCACCACGACACCCCGGGACACGCCGCCGCCGCCCGGCCAATCACCGTCCCCGAGCGCACATCCCCGCCTCCCAGGCAGATGGTTCTCCAAATGCGATTTACTTGGTTTGGGTTTTTACTATTTTAGTAAATAGTAAGGGTGACGTGGTTAATCTATTATTGGAATGCTAGGGAATTGCTGCTTTCTCTTAAAGACCTTTTCCTGGCCGTCTAGCTCCTGATCAGATAAACGTGGAGAGCCCCGAGTGGAGGGACTGAAAAAGGTCTCTTTACGTTAGCCTTTCGGGGCGCCGGGGAGAGTGGCCCCCCGCATGGGGGACCATGAAGGACAGATCGGCACCAGTGGTCAGCACCGGCCATGGAACTGTGTCTTCCCCCCGCCCCCCCATGCCACCCAGAGCGGTCTGTGAAAACACTTAAAAAGGGTATTCCTTCCAGAATGAAGTTTTGATGACAGCCCTGAAAAGGGAAACAGTGTTGGTGCTTTCGGCCTTTAAATCCTGGGAGAAAATAATGCCACGCGGCTTTCTGCCGGTTCATCACGCAGATTCATCCTGGGCGGAATGATTAAACGCTATAAAGAGGCAGGTGGCCCTGGATGCCGCTCGGTGGCACCAGTGGGGTAGACCCCTCGCTCGCTCTCGTGGGCAGGGCCGCAGCTGTTATTTCGTGTAGAAGGACCTTCCCGAGGGACGAGCTCGGAGCGAGGAGAGTTCAGGTGCTGCGGGGGGACTTAGCGTTTGCTCCCACCCCGGTGGGCTCCCGGAGGAGGCAGCGGGCGGACTCTGAGGGGTGCAGGGCCCTGGCAGCAGACCCTGGCGCCCCGAGAGCCAAGGTCAGGGCCTGAGCCCAGAGAGTGGATTAGATCAGGCTCTGGCCGCCCCGCCCCGCCCCGCCGGTGGCAGACAGACCTTTTGGACACTCCCCCCACTGGGGATCGAGCCCGAAATCCAGGCATGTGCCCTTGACCGGAATCAAACCCGGGACCCTTAAGACCCCCAGGCCAACACTCTCCCCACCGAGCCACACCAGCCGGGGTGACAATCTGTATCTTTCAGAGCAGTGGTCGGCAAACTCATCAGTCCACAGAACCCAATACCAACAGCACGACGACTGACATTTCTTTGGAGAGCCACATTTTTTAAACTTAAACTTCTTCTAACGCCTGAACTTCTTCAACATAGACTCGCCCAGGCCGGGGTATTTTGTGGAAGAGCCACACTCGAGGGGCCAAAGAGCCGCGTGTGGCTCGCGAGCCGCAGTTTGCCGACCGTGGTTTTAGAGCCACTGTCCCCACCGGTTAAAAGGATGCACACCACAGCCCCGGTGTGGGTGCGAGTGCGGGACCTAACGAGGAGATTCAACGGTAACCCTGACCCGCATCCCGTCCATCCCTCACCTGCAGGAGGCCCGGCGCCATCTTCCCGCCGCAGACCGCCAGCCGCGGGGAAATTGGAAAGGGAGAGCATTTTTACAAAAAGCAATTTGCTAGTAATTTTTCAGCCTTTTCCCTGCCACTCCTGAAAAATGTGTGTCTGAATAAGTTTGTCCTGCCACGGCTATTCATCATCGCGGTGTGCCAGGAGCTGCACCGAAATAATTTTCCTACCTCCGTCTGCTGGTTTGAAAGATACCCGGAGTCTCAGGCCCGGCATCACACTAATAGAGCAAATCAGGAAAATTAATGGCCGGGGCAACATCATCATCATCACAGTAATCAAAAGTTCGAGGCGCTCCTGTTTTACAGGGAGCTGCTAATGATAAGCACCATTTCCTTGTAAGTAAAAACGATGGCAACAAATAGAAATTCTCATCAGCTCAGTGCGTTGTTCCCAACCCTTTAAAAAATATATATATATATTTTTTTATTGATTTCAGAGAGGAAGGGAAGGGAGAGAGAGATAGAAACATCAATGGAGAGAATCGTAGACCGGCTGCCTCCTGCATGCCCCGCTCTGGGGATTGAGCCTGCAACCGGGACCTGTGCCCTTGACCAGGAATCCAGCCATGACCTCCAGGTTCTTCGGCTGACGCTCAGCCACGGAGCCACGCCGGCCGAGTAGCCCGGATCCCGTCCCCCGGCACGGGGAGGGCCAGGAGGCTCTGCGGGGTCCGCTGGCCGCTGGCCGCGGCTGCGGACGCTCTTTGCAGGCTTCGGGGCAGAATGTGCCCCACAGGGAGCTTCCTTCCGTCGGAGGGCGGGCACCCGTTTCCCATTGAGAACGAGCTTTTGGAAGAAAAAGGGGGTGTTTGGCAGATGAGACAAACGGGACCTCCTGGCACCGCATTCTCGCTTCGTGCCTCAGTGCTTTCCTGCCTTCACTGGGCAAATGAACGGACTCGTTCCTGGTGCCACACCTTCAGGCCGAGCGCCGTGTCCTCACCCGCCGCCAGCCTCCTCCTGCGCTCCCCTCCCGGTTCCTCCCGGTTCCTCAGGATGCCAGGGCCATGCTCTGTGTCCTCACCTGCCGCCAGCCTTCTCCTGTGAGCTTCCCTCCCGGTCCCTCTCGACCCCGTGCCCCAGGAGGGACTCTGTTTGACTGTCAACCAGTTACTGGAACACGGACAGTCAGCCCACGTGTGGGCAGATGGCAGGAGCAGGCTCTGGACAGTGCAAAAACTTGAATCCAAGTAAGGAAACCCCGGAAATGACTAGGCCTGGGGAGATGCAGTGTCCCTCAAATCATCTGTTATGTAGAGGGAGCCTTGCATGAATAAATGAATTTCAAATTATGGACCCTGTGTGTGTGTGGGCTGGGCACAGTCTGGACATGTGTGTGCATCCAGATGTGGAGGGGCAGGTGGGGCGAGCCTTAGCGTGCTTGTGGGAGAAGGATCCATGTGCGAGCAAACCCGTGGGGAGGGGCCGCCGGCTGCATAACCAGAAGCAGGAAGGGCGTGGCCAGAGCCTCGCTGCTGCTCTGAGGGGACAGGGATGTCCAGGGCCCAGGGAAGTACAGGACCCGCGCCCTCAGACCAAGCCTGCCCTGACAGAGGCCCGGCGTGGCCCTGCGTGTGGTCCACACGGGGGATGCAGTCCGTGGATGGGGTGGGGGCTGGGAACAGGCTTGTCCTGCCCACACCCCCCACCCATCGCTTGGGGGCAATGCAGAGGAGCTGGGACCGCAGCGCGGGAGCCTGCATAGGCCTGTGACATCCTGGCGTTGCTGGTGGCTCTCCGGCCTGAGACACCTTGGAGTCGGAGGTGCTGGCGGGAACTCAAGAATAACTGGGTCAGCATTTTCTTCCTCGGGCCCCGAGGACACGTGGACATCCGGCCACTCAGAGTGGAGGGTGGCGACAGGACACTGTGGGTCTTTGACACCCAGCTGCCGGGGGCCAGGGAAGGGACGGGGTGGGGTGGGGACGGCCCCCCTCCCCCCCTCCCCCCAGGAGTGAGCGCCTCGCCCGCAGGAAAGGGCTGCTGGGCCTGCTCTGCTGTCAGGGCCTGCGCCTCCCACGGAGCCCTGTCTGCAGGCAGAGCTCCCTGCCGGGGGATTGTGGCCTGTGGCTTCGTCAGACTCGTTATCCGGCTTCATTCTCTGTGATTCACTGAAATGACCTTTTTCCCGGCACTCGTCTGTTTACGGGGACCACAGGGGGTGCCTAGATAATCACCCCCAAGAGGGGGCGTTAGGGAGGGTGCCACCCCATCTCAGCGTGGCAGCCCGTCAGAGGGAGCCGTCCGAGCCCCGTGCACCCCGTAAGTGGGATCTTGTGGGGAGCCTGCCCTCGTTGGGACCCATGTTCAGGGGGGGCGGGGCTCCTGGAGAGTCGGAGCAGGGTTAGAGGCGGCAGAGGCTGCAGAAAAACCCTCTAGGTCAGGCCCTACGTGTCCGTGTCCGTGACCTCAGCAAACATGGTTTAACCAGCAAAAACCCATCGCCCATTCCTGCAGCCGGGATGTGGCTCAGCGCTGGGCTCACGCTGGCCTGCTGCCAGAGGGACAGAGCGAGGACCCGCCACGCTGTCCATGGGTGCTCGGGGCGGGGGGTGGGGTGGGGGGCCTGTGGCTCCCAAAAGCGACCAGCCTTTCCTGTTGGTTCGCGCTTCACTGAGGTCTCTGATCCTCAGCTCCTGCTGACGGTAACCCTTGCTTGTTTTCTGTCCAAATGGAATGCAAATGAGCAGAAATGAATTAGCAAAATTTTATGATATTGGAGAAAATCAGCTGGAAAAAATGCCTCCTCCAAACGGGACGTTACATGAGTGTGCAGAATTAATTTTATTTGCAGCAGTTGGCTTTGCTAACAAACAACATCCAGAAAAGCCGGTTCCAAACACTCGCCCAGTTCCTGCGAGAGGAGGGATCCCT